GGGGGACGTGTTCCCCTGTGGTGTTTTTTTGCTAGGTTTTATTTCATTTCTTGCACTCAGTACATTGTTACCTTGTTATAAAGATCAATTCAAAAGCATTTTGTCCATTTATTAAAGTTACAACTGCAGAAGCCCAGTGCTTCCGTAAGCCTTTAAATTTGGCTTTATAAACCAACCTCTATCTGGAGCAGGTACATTTTAATAACTTCCTTTAAGGGGGCCTGTGAATAATTCTTAGTCAGTTCACTGACGGAGTTAATTTAACAGTTTAAACATTTTAATTACATTTCCAAAATTACCGTATCTAAATTTATGTTTTAGAATTTAAATTGTCTACCTTTAATAAAACCTTCTGAATATAAACTAATTTTTAAAAATCTAATAATTTATACACGTGAGTGTGATGAACTTAGCGGAGGTCTCTTAAATATTCCCAAATGATACACACACGCAGCAAGATTTCCACGCAGAACTACTAACTGGTTCAATTTTACATTTTACATTTTCAGATGGATTATCAGGTTGTCTGTCTGACAGACCAAATGCTCTTAAACATTGCAATACTCAAAACGCCAAGTTAATGCAGTTTCCGTATGCTGAACTATTCATGCTGTGAGTTTCAACCTCTCCAGCCCATCTGGTTTAAACAGGCACAGTTATCCATTTCGGGTCATAGTCACCACTCAGGTAGCCCCGTGATGAAGGACCCGGGAACACAGGCAGGCCACTGTGGGCTGCCAACGCCTCTGTGTCCAGCTCTCGATGCCATGATGTGGACAGAGGTGGCAGGAGGGAGACCAAGTCTCTGCGTTCTGTTTCTCCCCCTCCCCAGGAGCCTGACTCTCCCAGCCACCTTTGCCCACACAGAGTGTGGCATCTCCTTGGCTTTTGAAGGTCAAAGTAAAGGTGTTTTTTGTTTTTTTTTTTTTTTTTTTAACAAAACCTCATAAAGAACAAATGAAGATAAATACATTCAGAAAAGAAATTAGACGACTGCTGCAATGAAATATTAAGCAATAATAATAGTAATAATACAAAGAAAGTAACATTCACATTGTCAGATAAAAGTATGTCTATTATAGAATACTTTGATCAGTTAACTTCTTATATAGTTTTTTCCAAAGTCTCAAAAAAATAGACAATAATATTTATAAATAAAAGTAAAGATAATTTTAAAAAAACAGATCATGCCAAATCTTATACACAATAGAATAGGAAATACTTCAAAATCATTCTACTTAGTCTGGATACACCTGACATTAAAATTGGAAAAAATATATTATTATAAAGGGGAAATTATAAACATATTTCACTTACAAATGAGGATGCAAAATGATAAACAACATATTAACATGTTGAGTTAAAAATTAATGTTTAAGTAATGTACTTTGGTCAAAATTAAATACAATTTATATGAGAATTAGTCACTATTTTCTTTCTTTCTTTTTTTTTTTCCTTGCCCACACCCCCTCCCTCCTTCTCTGTCTGGTCTCCCCCATGCCCCACCATGTCATTAATTGTCATTAATTGTCTTCATATCAAAGTCAAATACATAGGATTCTTACTTCTCCATTCCTGTGATGCTTCACTAAGAATAATGTGTTCCACCTCCATCCAGGTTAGTACAAATGCTGTAAAATCTCCATTATTTTTGATGGCTGAATAATATTCCATGGTATACATATACCACAACTTACCAATCCATTGCTGGGTTGAAGGACATTTAGGCTGTTTCCACATTTTAGCAATTGTAAAGTGAGCTGCAATAAACAGCCTAGTACAAGTGTCTTTATGGTAAAAGGTTTTTTTTCCTTCTGGATAGATACCCAGTATTGGGATTGCAGGATCAAATGGGAGGTCTAGGTTGAGTTCTTTAAGGTTTCTCCATACTTCCTTCCAAAAAAGGTTGTAATAGTTTGCAGTCCCACCAGCAGTGCAAAAGTGTTCCTTTCTCTCCACATCTGCGTCAGCATCTGCAGTTTTGAGATTTTGTGATATAGGCCATTCTCGCTGGGGTTAGATGGTATCTCAGGGTGGTTTTAATTTGCATTTCTCCGATAATTAGGGATGATGAGCATTTTTTCATATGCTTAGTAGCCATTAGTCTATTGGTTTTAGAGAAGATTCTGTTCATCTCTCTTCCCCATTGATGTATGGGGTTGTTGGTTTTTTTTCTTGTAGATTAATTGAAGTTCTGCATAGATCCTGGTTATTAGACTTTTGTCTGATTCAAAATATGCAAATATCCTTTCCCATTGAGTAGGTTGTCTATTTGCTTTGGTTGTTGTCTCCTTGGCTGTACAGAAACTTTTCAGTTTATTAAATCCCATTTGTTTATTATTACTGTTGTTGCTATTGCCATGGCAGTCTTCTTCATAAAGTCTTTCCCCAGGCCAATATCATCCAGTGTTTTTCCTATTCTTTCTTTGACAATTTTAATCGTTTCATGCCTTAAATTTGAGTCCTATATTCATCTTGAATCATTTTTGTGAGTGGAGAAAGGTGTGGGTCCATTTTCAGTCTTTTACATGTGGATATCCAGTTCTCCCAGCACCATTTATTGAATAGAGAGTCTTTCCCCCAGTGGGTGCTCTTGTTTGGTTTATTGAAGATTAGGTGGCTGTAAGTTGTTTCATTTCCAGGTTTTCTATTCGATTCCAAATATCTATGTCTCTATTTTTGTGCCAGCACCATGCTGTCTTGACCACTATGGCTTTGTAGTACAGCCTAAAATCTGGTATAGTGAGACCTCCAGCTTTGTTTTTGTTACTAAGAACTGCCTTAGCTATATGGGTTTTTTTTTTTCTGGTTCCATACAAAATGCAGAATCATTTTTTCCAGGTCTTGAAAGCAGGATGTTGGTATGTTAATAGGGATGGCATTGAATCAGTAAATTACTCTGGGAAGTATAGACATTTTAACAATGTTGATTCTTCCCAGCCATGAGCATGGTATGTTCTTCCATTTGTTGATGTCCTCTGCTATTTCCTTTCTTAAGGTTTCATAATTTTCTTTCTAGAGGTCCTTCACCAATTTTGTTAGGTATATTCCTAAGTATTTCATTTTCTTTGGGGTTATGGTGAAGGGAATTATGTCCTTAATTAACCTCTCATCTTGGCTATTGTTGACGTATACAAAAGCAACTGACTTGTGGACATTGATTTTATATCCTGAGACATTACTATATTTTTTGATGACTTCCAAGAGTCTTGTGGTTGAGTCTTTGGGATTTCCCAGGTATAAGATCATATCATCAGCAAAAAGGGAGAATTTAACCTCTTCTGCCCCCATTTGGATGTCCTTTATCTTCTTGTCTTGTCTAATTATATTGGCTAAAACTTCGAGCACTATGTTGAATAGTAATGGTGACAGAGGACAACCCTGTCTGGTTCCAGTTCTAAGAGGGAAAGCTTTCAGTTTTACTCCGTTCAATAAAATACTAGCTGTGGGTTTGTCATAGATAACTTTAATCAGTTTAAGAAATGTACTACCTATGCCTATACTCCTCAGTGTTCTAATTAAAAAAGGATGCTGGATTTTATCGAATGCTTTTTCTGCATCTATTGAGAGGATCATGTAGTCTTTGGTTTTACTTCTGTTGATATGGTGAATAATGTTTATGGACTTGTGTATATTAAACCAGCCTTGCATTCCTGGGATGAAACCTACTTGATCCTGCTGTATGACTTTTTTGATGATAACCTGTAATCTAGTAGCTAAGATTTTATTGAGAATTTTTGCATGTATATTCATTAGTGAAATTGGTCTGAAATTCTCCTTTTTAGTTGGGTCTTTTCCTGGTTTTGGTATCAGGATGATGTTTGCTTCGTAGAACGTGTTGGGGAAGATTCCTTCCTCCTCAATCTTTTGGAATAATTTCTGCAGTACAGGTGTAAGCTCTTCCTTGAAGGTTTGATAGAATTCTAGTGTGACGCCATCAGGACCAGGGCATTTTTTTGTAAGGAGATTTTTTATTGTTTCTTTGATCTCAGTGCTTGAAATTGGTCTGTTCAGGAACTCTATTTCATCTGGGCTAAGTCTAGGGAGAGAGTGTGATTCCAACTATTGATCCATTTCCTTCACATTATCAAATTTCTAGGCATAAATTTTCTGGTAGTATTCAGAGATGATCTCTTGTATCTCTGTGACATCAGTTGTTATTTCCCCCAAAGTAAAGGTCTTTGAATTGGCTTCATGTTCCCAGGCCCACATGACACCAGGAACACTGACCTAATATGCCATGGAAGCTCCTCTGACCTGGGTCACCGATCCTAACCCTTTCGACACCTGTGTCAGGACATTGGTGGGTGAGGGCTGGGGGCACACTGGCCACCTCTGTCTCTGATGGTGTCTCTGCTCCCAAGTGAGCATTTGCTTTATTTTGGGCTCTTCTCTAAGATGTGGACAAAGCTTCTCTACTTGAGCTGATACACTGTGTTCTTCCCACAGGGTAGGTGTCCGCTGGCTCCTCTGCCCCTCCCGGCCCCCCACAGAGCCTCTGCAGTCTAGTACACAGCCCTACATCTGCAGCCTCCCCCCAGCACTGGGTCTGGCCTGGTGCCTGGTCTGCATCCCAGGGCACTGCCTCCTCTGTCAAGCTCTGAGCCTGATTGTGCCACTTTCCAGCAGCTGAGACACTCTCCCTGCCCCTGGGAACCATCCTGCCCCAGCGAATGATCCCAAACTTCCGTGAACTTGAGACCCATTATTGAACACCCTCCCATCCTGCTCAAGGCCTTGGGGACTGTTCCCAGCAGGGCTGGTGATAGGGGCTGGGCCTGGACCTGGGCCTGCTCTAAAGACACACACAGGCCCTCCCCACATGAGCCCTGGGGAGTCCTCTCTCTGGGCACAGAGTGTCCTTGCTGAGAAGTGAAGCCCACTGAGCAGGAAGCCTGTGAGGCCATGAGGAGGAAGTTACCACCCCCACTGGGGATGGGAAATAGAGCCAGGGGTCACTGCGGGTGGCCGCAGCCCTATAAGAGCCAGGGAGCTCTTTCAGCAGCAGGACCAGAGTGATACAGCTGAGCTGCCACGGCCATGGGGCCCACTCTCCTGGTCTTCTCCTTCCTGTGCACCACGGCCTTGACTGCTGACACCTGTCCAGGTGAGTCAGACGCCAGGTGAGGAAGAGGGACTACAGCCCTGGAAGCTGACAGCCTCCACTTGCTGACCGCTGAATGCAAGCCAGCCCAGTGGGAAGCCCTTTGCCTCTGTTCTGCCCTTATTCCTTCAACAGCTGCTTATTTATTTTTTTTTTATTAAGTCAAATACACATAGATCATGAATACATTTATGCATATGTGGGGTACAATGTGTTGATTTTTTTTAATACACTCAGCAACATCTGTTTGCCCTTCCCTGGTTGCACAACCAGACCGGGTTCCCCAGGGTCCCTTCTGGTTACTGAGTTGTGGTACAGGTCAGGCCAAAGGGTAGTGGGTGGAAGGGATGTGTGTCACCATCCACCATAGAAGTCCCACTTCCAGTGGGTGGAATAGAGGTGGCCCTGGTCAGATTGGAGCTATTATCATTATCTCTGGGAGACCATCCGGCCCAACATGGTCGACAGGGTAAGGCCCCAGCACGGAGGACATTCCGTCTGGAATCTGCCTGGCTCTGGGGACAGGAGGCTCCATGGTGGTCCTGACATGGCACATGAGGGTGATGTGGCCTACACGGCCTCCAGACCTCCTTCCCCTGGGCTCCTGGGACATGTAAGTGCCATGCCCAGCAGCTCCACCCAGGATCCACCCACGGTCTCAGCGGCATCTTGGTCACACTGAGGCCCTTGCTCTGCCCTCAGAACGGGAGAGGCTTCTACTGTGTTAGTGGGCACGACGGCTCCTCCTGTGTTTCTGGTGACCCGGGGCAAATGACGGCTGCCACAGCACTGCAGGGAGGGGCTTGGAACAGTGAATTGTCAAAAATTATTAAGTACTCTTTTTTAATGAGCAAAAATAAGTAAATAAAAAATAAATTAAATCTCCGTTTTCTCTGAATAGTGAGCAAAGGGTGAGAACATACCAAAGAAAACTACACAAAATATTGTACCTGCCTGTATCTCCCAGGGACAATGGGATTTAATGCCATACTTTCTCAGGAAGTATAAAAGATGCATTAATCTTGTCATCCACAAAACTAAAATTATTTGGTAAAGAAGCAAATAATCTCTGGTTCCAGTGGTGCCACACCCAGAAGTCCCCTTGCAGCTGCAGAATTGTGGGAACACATCCCAAGGAATGGCAGTGAAGGTGCTAATGTGAACCCAATTCCCTACATTTCTTAGATGTATTTATCATCATTATTTATTGAAAGAACCCACTGTTAGTGAAGCTCTTTCTAAATGATGTATGTATTATACTGAATTTTAAAGATTTGTGTTCTATATTCTAATCCTTGGCATGGTCCTGTTATAATTCCCACTTGGTAGCTGAAGGGACAGAAGCTCTGAGGGGAGAGGTGACATGGCCTGGAGGGGGAGCATGGCCAATCAGGCAGGGTGGCCCCAAGGCCGGGGCTCTGCCTCACATAATTTCCCTGCCTGAGCACTGCCCCTGTGGTGAGGATGGACTACGTTGCCAACAGATCAGGAATATTGCACTGACTCCCAGGTCTGCCTCCAGCTGAGGCAGATGCTCTGGCTGCAGCCATCAGCCCAGGCTCAGTATCACCAAGGGGCAGGCACCCTCTGTTTAGGTGTCTTCTCTGCAGCTCTGTAGGGCATCAGACCCAGGACGATGGCACTGACTGGCCACTTGTGTCTCTGTACAGACGTGACGGTGATGGGGCTGCAGGGCTCTGACAAGCTTGCCATCCTCCGAGGCTGCCCGGGGCTGCCTGGAGCCCCAGGGCCCAAGGGGGAGGCTGGCACCCACGGAGAGAGAGGTACGTGCACCGGGCCTGGTGGGCAGAAGGGGGTGGGGAACATCTCCTGCCCTCTGAAATTAGAAGCTGAGTTGGGCAACACCCCACCATGATCAGAGGCTTTGCTCTTGGCCTCTGCTGGGAGAGGACAGTAGGGACACAGCTGACCCCTGAGGTCACAGGGGTTCTGAACATGCCTCAGGTGTGACCTGCTCCTTCAGCCCTCTCAGGAGCTCACATTTGGGTATGTTCTGGGGGCCTGTCACCTGTCTTTGATTCTATGCCAGCTTTCGATGGCTACAGGCAAGAGTCCTGAAGTGCATGGGCCTCCCCATTCTCACCAAATTTGGGGTGACCAATTTCTTCTTAACCTCTCGGAGATGAGGAAATTGAGTGCCAATGGGGTCAGGACCTACTGAGCTCACACACCAGGAGGGAAGGGGCTGGGCCTCAGCGTGGGTCAGCCTCAGGACACGGCTGGCAGCTGTCCTGACAAACAAGAGCAGGTGGCAGGTGCCTGCTGAGATGTGTGAGGGTCCCTGAACACAGGGGACCCCTGACCCAGATGGGCACTAAGCTGGAAAAGGGAACTTTCCCCACCTATAGGTGACCAGCACCTGGTGGGGACGTCCCAGTGGAGATAGGACAAGCTTGGAGCTCCCCATGACTCACACATTCTCCCAGGTATCCAGCCTCAAGGCCTGAGTGGGCAGGGCTGGGCCAGGTCATGCCTGATCACCCAAGAGCTGGACTCCTGTCCCCTGTGCCCTGCTGAGGGGACAGCAGGGAGGAGGCTCTGGCTGTGGTGGGAGGAACTGACCTCCCTTGGGTCAGCTTCCTAGCAGTGGGCATGGCCAGCTCATGTGGCCCAAAGCAGGATCCAGACACACGCCCTCTCCCAGCCAGGGGGACAGAGAGAATGCCGGGCAGCCTCTTGGGCAGCATCAGGGCAGACGAGGGCTCAGATCTGGGCTCAGGCCCATGTAGTGGTGGGACCTGGGCACTGGGCAGTCCTCAGGCCCCTGCTGAGGACAATAACACTGGCCTGGGAGGCCAGACGCCTCCTGGTGTCCCCTCTCTGGTCAGAACCTGCGTGGAGCCCTGAGTGACTGTTCTAGGAACTTGGACTTGCTGCAGAGCCAGAGCGCCCCACCCCAGACCCTGCCACACAGGCTCACCCTTTGGGTATGGGAGACTGGCAGAATTGTGCACTCTGAAGACACATTTCTTGTCCCAGGGCCTGGTGCCC